AGATGTCGATCGGTTCGACCTAAAACCGTATTGGCAATCAGAGAGGATTTTATTTTTTCAATGAATGTATCTAATCTGTTATTAAAGAGTTTTTCCAGAATTTTTGACAATTGTGACAACAGAGAAACCGGTCTATAATTTGTGAAGTTGTGCTTATCACCAGATTTATACAGTGGAATAACCTTTGCTATTTTCATATTATTGGGGAACTGCCCAAGTCGAAACGACATGTTAAAAATATGGGTTAATGGTTTGCATATCCCCTCAATTACCCATTTAACAGTTGTCATAGTGATACCATCACTGTCACTAGATGTTTTGTTACCACATTTATTCACTATCTCTATAATTTCCTTTTCAACAATTGGCTTAAGAAACATAGAACACATATTCCTTTCAATTGTATTGTTATTTATATTGACGTCTGTACAAATGCTACTTGCTAAACCAGGACCCACATTCACAAAAACCTATTAAACTTCTCAACTACATCCTCAAATCTGTTGACCGGTGTATCATTGTCCATAAAATATGGAGGATATTTACTCTTGCTGGTACTGTTTCTAATCAATTTATTTAATATATTCCAAGTACCTTTCATGTTATTTTTATTATCCTCTAATACTTTAGAGTAATATTGTTTCTTACATATCCTCAATAACGCAGTTAATTTGGCAGACATTTTGTCTACTTATAACAAAAGTTTTTATCTATGTACAAGGCCACACCACCTCCCATCTTATTCTCCCTGTTTGTACATACCAAGTCATAGCCTTCAAGGTCAAAATCCATTCCCCTTACAGTGTTGATCCAAGTTTCAGAAATAGCAATTATATTAAAAGAATGTGTAAGACTACTAAGATAATGTTTTATACTCTGAAAGTTTGCGTATAAACTTCTGCTATTAAAGTGAATTAATGATAATTTGTTTTCAGTCTTGACATTGTAGTTAAACTGCTCATCTGTGTAATACTTGCAGTTATTTTCAGAGTTCTTAAAAAAGTTTATTTCGGGGTCAAAATCTTCATTCGGTTCATGATAATGAATTTCAGTATCTCCAGTAGTGTTCAGTTCCAGCTCCAGTCCCTCAAAATCTTTTAACTTCTGTAACAAATCACTTGCCTCATTCCGTATATGGGTCATGCTTGTTGTTGTTGGTTTCAACGCTCATCTGCCGTCGCAGATATCGATATACCTGCGTGACTCTTCAAACATCAGAGGGTCCAGCGACCCCATCATCTCCTTGTCTTGGCATCCTGGGCGTGCTGGTCCTAGGTCCTGATGCCTGGTTCCGAGGTCTGGTCACTAGTTGATCATATCTCAGGAACGCGATGTCTCCGCTTGCCCTGGCCTCCCTTAACTTCGGCATCAACTCCCTTCTT